TTTTGGAAGAAGTGCAACCAGAGTGCTCCTTGGAGACCAGGATGGCAAAACTTCATCTCTCACACTTCAAACATATTGTCAGGAGAGACCAATCGCTGGAGAAGGATATCATGTTTCATAAGGTGGAGGGTCATAGAAAAAGAGAAAGATCCCAGTTAGATGGATTGGCACAGTGGCAGCATCAATGGGCTCAAGCGTGGCAACAATTGTGAGGTTGGTCCAGGACTGGGCAGTGTTTTATTCTGTTGTGCATAGGGTCACTATGAGTCGGCACCGACTTGATGGCTCCTAACAACAACAATGGCAAGGAAACTTGGAAAGAGGAGCGTTTGTAGAATGATTATCAAATGATGAGAAAGAGTGTTTTATCACAAAAGACCATCAGATTGCATCATTGTTTTTCTGGGCAAAGAGCAACACCATAGGGCAGTGCTCTGGGGATCATGACCTTGTGGTGGAAAAGATTCACCTAATCTCCGAGTGGACTCTCACTCACATTCTCCAGGAAGTTCAACTGGATGGCTTCCTGTTTTGTACTCTTGTGAAACAGTCTAATGTGGAACTTTCTTCATACACTGTAATTGGGTCTCATGAACCTGTCCAACGACATTGTCCTTTGCCCCTGGAGGGTGCACGGTTGTGTTATAGTGTAACTAACAGCCCCCATCTGAAATATTGTAGTATAACTAACAACCTCCATTTGCCATTTGAAATATTATAGCATAGTTCACCCTGCTATCCCCTTCCCCCCTCCCCACCTCACCCTATGGAAAAATAATAAATAAACTTCTTACAGAAAAACCTTGAAAGCCAGAATGACCCAAGGACACCTGAACAAACAGGATAAAACTGTTTTTAGCCCATCCATACAACCAAGATAAGGGTTTATTGGTGGGTTTACTCCCACTTATATGATAAGGGTCTGCTGGAATTTACCACCCCAGCTGACAAGTCAAGTCTATGTTCTAACCACTCTGTGTTTCTTGTATAAAACCCTGTTCCCCTCCTCACTTCAGGGTCAGAGCGATTTGGACTTGAGCGGACACTCTGGCTGCGGGCAATACACTTAGCTCTTGAAGTTTTCGGAGTTGAGTTCTTCTTTCTGACTTGTGGAAGAATTCAGGAGGTTTTTCACTGACTGGGAACAGCAAGAGCATGCTGGAATCTCTCAAAGGACTGGAGTTGTGTTTGCTGACTGACTTCCCAGCTCAGGAGTACCTCACGCAGCCGGGCTTGCGGTGCCCTTGGGCACTGGGAATCTTCTCTTCCTGTTAAAGAAGGGGAAGCATTTGTCTGTGAGAGTTGAACCTGATCATTTGCTGCCAGGAGCCCAGGAAACAGCATTTGGAAGGTTCTGAGACGCTAGATCCTTTAGAAACAGCATTTGGAAGGTTCTGAGATGCTAGATCCTTTAGCAAGCAGTGACCATTCTTCATCTCAAGGCAGGAGCATCCCCACTGTGGGAAACCCACCTCTGCTTCTTCCAACCCTGCCAAGAAATCCCTCCTGGGCCCTCCTCCTCTTGTTCTGTAAAGTTCTCTTTGTTAGGTAACAGTGCAGGAGGGCATCTCCTTCCACTACCAGGATTGGTCAACCCCAAAGGTCTCCTTCCCCATTCCCTGTGTCCAGAAGGCACCTCTAAGATGCTTAATCCTTTGGGATACCCCTGTCCTAAGCACGGTGTGGCACTGTAGGATAAGCACTAGACCCCAAGGTCGGCAGTTCAAACTCACCAGTCACTCCTTGGAAACCCTATACGTACCAGAACCTACTCGAGGACACGTAACAACAACAGGCCTGAGAAGCGACCACTACTTAAGGAGAAAACAGGTCTTTTACCACAATCACCATGTGCATTATCAGGTAGGTCTTCTAGAAGGTTCCAGGGTTCATGGGGCAGGGGTCCCAATCCCCAGGGTCTCCAAAGTGCCCACCTCCAGGTTTGAGCACAGAGATGTCATTTCTCCTGTTCGCAGTGTCTCTCGCTCTGCCTTGGTACCACACCAGGCTGCCCTAAGTACTGTCTGCATCATTTCGCTCCATCACTGACTCAGGGCTCCCACAACAGCATCAACTCCATCCACTCACCCCTTGGGCTCCCACATCCCAAATGTGCAGTTGAAACTTTGTGTTGCCTGGATGAATGGCTGTGTGCGGTAGAGTTGGTTCTGACTCACAGAGACCCTGTATAGGGTTTCTGAGGCTGTAAATCTTTAAAGGAGCAGAAAGCCTCATATTTCTCCTGAAGAATGGCTGGTAGTTTCGAACTGCTGACCTTGAGATTCCAATTTGTAACTAGTATGCTACGAGAGCTCCTTTTTTGTTGCCTACAGGACTGTTTTTCCAATTAGGCACACAGACCCCTGTTGTTATGAGCAGTCCAGTCGATTCTGACCCACATCGACCCTGTATAGGATTTCTGAGAAGGAGCGACTGGTGTGTTTGAACCACCGACCTTATGGTTCAACAGCATTATCCTGTAGCACCACACCAGGACTCCATACAGACCCCTGGGGGGCTTCAGATATGCATCCAGGTGTGTAAGCTCTGTATGAATCTTTGTTTTGTGTTTCAGTTTTAATGAGGATCTTCGATAAATATATATATATACACACACACATACACAGGGTAAAAATACATGTATCAGACAGTTAATCGATTTTTTTTTTAATTATCTTTTTAGGGATTCTGTGATGTTTACTCCCTGGTGGTTCGGTATTTTAACACAAAACATCTGCAGTTCGAACTCACCAGCCATTTGTAGAAGAAAGGGTGGGAGTCGGTTTTATAAGGATTTGTTATGTGCTGTACAGGGTTTCCGAGGCTGTAAATCTATACGGGAGTAGAGAGCCTCATCTTTCTCCCGTGGAACAGCTGGCAGTTTCGAACTGCTGACCTTGCGGTTCGCAGCCCGAATCATAACCACTACGCTATCAGAGCTCCTTTTTTAAGGATTGACAGCTTTAGAAACCCTAAGGGGCAGCTGTACTCCGTCCTTGCCGAGAGGTCCACTGGGTTTAACACTGGGCTGCTAATCACGATGCTTAAGATTCAAACTAGCAGCATCACTTTTGTGAAAAATGATGATGTTGATAGTATTTGTTAGCATCTTGAAATGTTCATTTAGGATATATATTCTCGTTCTAAATGAATATTTACTTTCCAGTCACTGTTTGCATTCATAATTTGGGGTTGTTTTTCCTAAGACCCTATCCTTGCTTTCCCAAACTTAAACTCGTTACAGCTGAGCAGATTCTGACTGGGGTGCTGAAGGAAAACTGCTCCATTGGTGTTTCTTGGCTTGTGACCTTCCTGGAAGCAGTTCACCAGGCCTTTCTTCCACGGAGCTACTGGTAGGGCTTGAACCACCAGGTCATGGGATGAGAATACGTAGCTCACAAGACTTCTGATATGGATGTTCATTAACAAGCACAGAGCAGCTGGAGAAACAACCCCATCGCCCTCCTACGCCCAGAGAAAACTCTGCTCTTTTTCTGCCCACGCTCGCCTCCGAACAAGGCGGGCCTAGGACCCGGGCGCCGATTGGCCGAGAGGAATATGAGGATCACGTTTGAAAGGCCCAATCAGCACCGCGGCGCCTGACAGCACTAGCCAATAGAAAGCCCGGAAGTGGTGGGAGGGCGGGAGCAGCGCATTTGAACTGCGGCGGAAGCGGTCGAGTCGGAGTCGTAACTGCGGACTGCGAGGCATGGAGGGCGAGCTAGGGCGGTCGGAGCTGGCGCGGAAGCTCCTGGAAAGCCGCCGTCGCTTCCAGAAACGCATGCAGCTGCTGATCGAGAAGGTGAGGCCGCGCGCTGAGCGAAGGGACCGAGGGGGGATGGTCTGGGCGTACGGGGGTAAAGGTGTTTGGAATTGAGGGCGGGGGAGGCGGGATCCCGGTCGAGGGTGGGGGGTCCAAGTGCGGGGAGGCGGAGCAGGTCAGTGTCAAGGTGCTGGGGGCAGGGGGGGCGCCCAGGTGCGAGGGCTGGGTGAGTGGAGGTGGGGTCCAGGTGTTGAGTGGAGGCAGGGTATAGGTTGGGAGGGCAAGAAGTGGGGTCCAGGTGCAGGGTGGGAGGGGGAGGCAGGGTTTAGGTTGAGGAGGGTAAGAGGTGGGGTCCAGGTGCAGGATGGGAGGGGTAGGCCAGGAACCAGGTACCTGGAAGGAGCCAGGAGGGGGTTGCAGGGTCAGGGTGCAGAGGGTGGATGGGAGGAGGTGGGAAGGGGGCAGATCTTCCTGATCTGTATGGGAGAGGTGGGGTCCCGGTGCAGGGAGTGGGTGGGAGAAGGTGGCAAGTAGCAGATCAGGAATCTGATACCTGGAAGTGGGAGAGGAGGCCCAGATGCAGGGAGTGGGTGGGAGGAGGTGGCCAGGGGCAGTTCAGGAACCTGGTTACCTGGGAGGTGCTAGGAAGCGGTGGGGCTGTAGGCTGAGGGCAGAGAGAGGGGATGCAGGAAAGCTGCCAGCTATTCCTTAACCTTGAACTACCTGGAGGTGGATGGAGAGGTTGGTTGCCAATCTGACCTCTGACCTCTTCCCCTACAGTACAACCAGCCCTTTGAGGATGGGCCGGTGGTCCAGATGGCCACTCTGACCTACCAAACACCCCAGGGTAAGGATGAACAGCCAGCATTGGGTTTGGTGTCTTTTCCTGGTCAGTGAAGTCCACATCTGGGGTGACTGAAGCATTGTTTGTTTGTCTTCTTCAGGACTGAGGCTGTGGGGTGGCGGAGTGATCGAGGAACCAGGCAGAGGACATGGGCAGGTATGGAGGCCCCTTTACTGCTGTAGAGGAGAGCAATGGTGAGGGAATGTGTCAGCACCGGGAGCTTCCGGACCTCCACTGAGCCCCCAGTTTGTTTCGGGGTGTCCTCATCTTGACACCCCAATATCGGTTGTTTTTAAGGTTTTATTATACTTGTCGAGTATAAGGAGAGCCTGTAGACCTCGGAAGCCCTTTGTGTAAAGAGACATGGCGCCAGGTTAAGCGTGGACTGATAGTGGTTTGAATCCAGCAGCCACTCCTGGGAGATAAGACGTGACTGTGTGCTCCCGGAAAGAAGACACCTTGGACACCCCGTGGGGCAGTTCTACCCTGTCCTATAGGGTCTCCAGGAGCCAGAATTCACACGACCACCGTGGTGGGGAGAGGGAGCTGGCTGCCAGTAAGCCTTTCAGGCCTTTTATTGTGGGCGTGCAAGGACAGAAGCCAGTCCTGGTGGCACAGTGGTTGAAACGCTCAGCTGAGTACTGAAAGGTTGGAGGTTTGACTCCACTAGTCACTGTGCTGTAGAACGCTGTAGCAGTCTGCTTCCATGAAGAGGACATCGTGGAGACCCCTGTGGGGCAGTCCAACGGGGTCGCTATGAGTCCGACCGAGAGTCTGCTTTGGTGACAAGGGGAGCTCCGGAAACATCTCTCTCTGCCACTCATGGACAGACTGTGGGCTGGGACATGTCCACCGAAATGAGTACATCCCTGTTTACTTCTGTAGGAGGACGAGTCCTCTGTGAGCTGCTGGGTGGACAGTCCCGGGCGAGCCACAGGTCAGTGAGCGCCTCGCAGCGTGAGTGGGTGTGTATGTGAGTGTAAGCGGGCAAGGCTCTGTATGTGACCCTGTGTGTGTGTCTTGCTATGAATTTTGCGGGATCAGAACGAAACTTGTCACTTGTTTCTCTTACAGCATTTTAATTCCTAGGTGCCTTGTCCTTATTATTCTTTCTCTCTTCTGAGGTGTGTTTTAAAATGGAGACATCTCTAGGTGCCCTCAGACCCGCCAGGTCCGTGGAGCATAGGAAGCCTGTCCTACTCACAGCCCCGTCCACAGTACTGGACAGATAAAAGGATTCAGAGTTTGCTTCATGTCCTTGCCCTCCCCTCTTTTTTGTTAACAAGAGTTGAGACTGGGGTGCTTTCCCAGCTCTCCTAGAGGCCCGCTCCATCGTTGTGGTATCTATCTGTGTGAGCTCTCAAGATGTGTTCTAACACAAACAAATCTGTGGTCTCACAGTTGGGGAAGCGAGGTGTGTGGATTCCAAGCACCAGCTCTGGGGGAAGCATTTCTCTCTGTGTCTCCTGGGCCTAGAAGGTTCACAACGCAGGGGCCCGGGCCAGAGGGAAGCACTCTACTCCCATGTTTTCTTCCTTGGTGCTACTGAGCTTTCTTTCCCAGCTCCCTTCTCGCTTCCTTTATCTCCTGTAAGATAAAGGTGACACACCCAAGGGAAACCCACCCCTTACCCTCTGGTCAGGGTGTTGTATCCCTAATACCCTGACAACTAATTGGCTGCTCACAGCATGGGGGGACAGTTACGTCATTCAAGGAATCCTGGGGTGCTGCTGTAAAACAAGCACTGGACTGTTAATCGCCATGTTGACAGTTGGAACTGACTCGATGGCACTTAACAACTGCCAAAGGACTGAGAATCACAGTCCAGCTGGATCGATGTCTCTGGGAGACACAGCCCATCCCATGACAGTGCATGTCTTCTCAAGAGCAGCCTGAGCGCCCCCTTCCCCTGTCATGGGCATCTGCTGGCTTCGTCTCCAGCCCAGCCCTGGTCGGGGTGCATTGGACTGCCTGTGAGTCCCTCTCCATGGGAACATCCCCTCATGTTCCCCGCCTCAGTAGCATGCTCTGCCACCGTCTTCCCAGTAGAAGAAGCCAGAAGCCCAGTCCTCTGTCTAACCTTATCTTTACTCCTCATCAGATCTAAGACCTCACTGTCCTCCTGCCCCTCAGACCATACCATCTCTTTCAAGCACCACAGTGTCTTCCCGTTTGAAAAGGAAAGGCAAACCAATGGGGTTTCAAGGAGCCCTGGTGACATTGTGATCTTAATGGAAAATATTTAATGCTTTCTTCTTGGCAGCTTTCTGCCTTACACTGGTGCTGGCTTTTGTGGGCCTAGAGGGCCCATGTCTTTATGGAAAGGTTTTACTATAGAACGTACTGAAGTGAAACGAAAGTTCCTAGAAATTCTGACTGGGATTTCCTTTTCTGCTTCTAGGCTCAAACAGCAGTGAAGTCATTGCAACTTTAGACCATGGAGAGACGGTGACCATGATGGTAAGAGCGGCCTTCTGTGGCCTGTGGACAGTCAGGGTAGGAGGTGCTCAGCTACCTCCTAGAATTTCTCCCCTCAGACGCGCTCTGATCTTTCAGGGTCTCAGTAGGGTGAAGGTCGTGACCCCGGAGAAGGCAAGGCAGCCTCCACAGTAGATAATTGAGACGCAGGTCCTTGGCTGACAATCCAAGGGGGGCTCAGAAAGCTCTGGAGAAAATTCTGTTATAAATGGAATGAAAAGACAATGGAATTTTCCCACAACCCCCTCCTATTTGCTTATGGGGTCCCTGCCCCCACCCCAGTCAGGGGCTGAGGGTGGAAGTTGAGACCCAGTTTCTAGCAGGTTGGGGGTGAGAGACAAGGAGCGGTTGCCTACTCCTGAGTTCATTTTCTTAAAATTTATTGCTTGTTGTCCATATATGTAGTTGAATACTGAATTCACTTAAGAACTTTCTGGCAGTCTCGACACCTGTCAATTCTCCAACCTTGGATTTCTTGGGGTTTTTTTTTTTCTCACTTTCTTGTGGGTTGTTAGCTTGAGGTGAATCCCCAGAAGTCAGGTGGTTTTTCAGAGTGGGGGAGCAGCTGGACACCTGGAAGCTCCCTTCAGGCTGGTTCACAAATGCTCCGAGCAAGTTCATTCCAAGAGGCTGGGGTTCAGCGGCCCCAGAGGCTCATGGGAGCATTGACTTCTCCTTTTATCTGAGCAGCCTGTTGTGCCTCAGAGCCCTTTGAAAAACGAGCTACGAAGGAAGTACCTGACCCGGGTGGACGCCCTGCTGCAAGAGCAAAGGTGCTCAGAGGTAAGCTTGCCCGTCCCTCCTGACGTGCTCCAGCCTCAGACTAAAGACGCCTCCTGTCTTATTCCCCCCAGTGATTCTGGGGCGTTTTATTCAGGGGTTCGGGCACTCTCGGGCCCCTGTTTGTTGGTGCTGCTCTGGTGGCAGCCTGCCCCAAGCTGCCTTGGGGCCTCCAGGGTGCCGTCTTTATGGAAGCAGGTGGCCAAATCTAGTTCGGAGTGACCAGTGGGTTCAAGCTGCCTACCTTTCCTTTATCAGGCAAGTGCTTAACCTGGGTGCCACCAGGGCTTCTTTCATGGGCGGACTGGACCTACCTCTCCCATGACTTAAAGCGGGAAATGGTGCCCACTTGCAGCTGTGTTGGTCAGAGGAAAAGTCCGGAGTCAGGATGGCTCAGCTCTGCTCCCTAGGCCATGGAGGATGAGAGACAGCGTAACAGACAGTGTCTAGATGTCATCCTGGAGGCCTCGGGGATAGTTCCTGGCTCTGACAGTGACACCTCTTCTCCGTGTTCGAAGCCCACAGGAGCCCTTGGTGGCACTGTGGATTAGGCATTGGACTGCTAACTGCAAAGTTGCCAGTTGAACCCCACCAGCTGCTCCACAGGAGAAAGATGAGGGTCTCTGTCCCCGCACAGGTTAGCGGCTCAGCGAGCCTGCATCTGGTAGCTATGAGTTGGAATGGATTCAGTGGCAGTGGGTCAGTTTGAGGCCCAAACCAGCCACTGTGGTCATAGTTACATCACAACCACGGTGCTAAAGGGACAGGCGCAGAGTTTGAAAAGAGCCACTTTCACCACCCGTGGAGGGACGTTGCATTGTGGTAGGGAGAACCTAGAATTTGTGCCCACAAGTCTCAGAATCCAGAAGCTGTTTGGTTGTAACCATGTGCTTTGGTTTCAGCATGCAGATGATGGAGACAGAGAAGACACCAGGGTGACTCCGATGCATTCGCTGGCCAGGCCTGCCCACGGTGAGTGTGGCCCAAACATGCCGAGTGTCCACAATATAGTCCAACCCATTGTGGGGGTTTAATCAGCTCGGGGCCCACCCAAGTGCGGTCCATTGTATTTGTTCTCAGGTTGCACGAGTCTCCTGCACCCTAGAAGCCTCCTTGACCTTCTTTTCTTGATGTCATCTTTCATGTTGTGGACATTCTGCAAAACATTTTTTGGACATCATCCAGTTTTGCAGAAAACCCCTCGATTTCAACTTGTGGGGTTCCTTCCTCGCAGTTGTTGTTGTTATGTGCCGTGGAGTCGGTTCCGACTCATAGCGACCCTGTCCTGTACAGGGTTTCCGAAGGTGACCATGTGTCCTTCTCAGTAAATGTGTGGGTGCTTTTTCCTGCTTGAAAGTGCTTCTTTTCGGTCCTCTGTGGGCAGATTGCTTGAGATTGTGAGGAAACCATATCCCCACTGAGGGTCATGCCTGGAGGTGGTGGTCACAAACCTGTCCTCTTCTGTCTTGTACTGGTTGAGGCCTTCCTTGAAAAATCCTGGAGAACTTGTGGACAGTTTATCAAACCTGAGTGTTAAAACCCATCATTCCGTCTGGTGCCCAGTGGCAGGCCCCCTCTGGATTTGACCACGGCTTCTCCTTCGCTGAGCCTGGTCGCATCCCCCTGGCTCCCTCAGTTGTCACATTGGTATGTCCTCTTGTTGGGTTAGTTGGGGTGTCCAGAGTACATTCAGGACTGCAGGCCCCTGCCCCCGGCACTCTGATCAACATTGCTCAGTGACCTTCACAAGCTCCCAGCAGCCCTCTGTATTGTGGACGGTGTCCCATCAAGGACATACAGCCTGAGCATGATACATCGCTGGGAGCACAGCTTCCTGTTTCTGTGGGCCGCCACGGCGTGAACGCTGACTCAGAGCAGCCCTGTGTGGACTCTGCACAGCAGAAGGAAACACTGCCTGGTCCTGCCCCCCTCGTCACAGTCGTCGGGTTCGAGCCCAGTGTTGTAACTACTAACCACTATGTCAGTCTGTCTCACTGGGGTCTTCCCCTTTTCTCTGACCCTTCACCTTACCAAGCCCAGTGTCCTCTAGAGACCAGTCCCTCCTGACAACACGTCCTCAGTATCAGGTGAAGTCTGGACATCCTGGCTTCCGAGGAGCATTCTAGCTGTACTTCCAACAAGACTTACCCATGTGTTTGTCTGGCAGTTCATGGTACTTAACAGTATCTTTTCTGGTCTTTCTGTTGCTGGCACTTTGAGCAACAGCTGGGCTCATCTGGTTTTGTGTTTGCTCAACCACCCTTACTGGGTTAGATTTTTTTTTTTAAAGTATATATGGGAGCTTCAAACAGTTCATAGAAAATTGCCATTATCTTTTAATTCCATTTTCCACAAAATGTGTGAAGCCCCCTTGCACACATGACCTTTTAACATCAACAGGTAAAACCGTATGGAGGTGCACTCTACAGCCTTTTCCTCCCCCACCTGTGCCGGCAGGTACATGTTCCCAGTTCGTTTTTTCCTGGCTTGTGTTTAGCTTTTAAAGGCATCCTGCAAACCGAAAGGTTGGTGGTTTAACAAAGCCACCCGCCACTCCATGAGAGAAAGGTGTAGCAGTCTGCTTCCATAAACATTGCAGCGTTGGACACCCTGGGGGCAGTTCGCCATCCTATAGGGTCACTAAGTCCGAATGGACTCCATGGCAGTGGGGACTGGCTGTTGGAAAAGGAACCCTCCACACAGTGCCATGAAGACTCCTTCTGGGAACTTAATTTTGATAGTGACACAGATGCCAGACGAGTGACTATTTCCATTATGCCTGGTGGTGGTGGTCTTAAACCCCCTCAGTCTGGGCTCTCAGAATGACCACGCACCTTTCCTTTGTGATTCCCCCTAGGAGACTGCAGTGACGTCTCCACAGAGAAGCCCACGAGCTCCGTTAAGTCAGCAGCAGCGCCCAGAGCCTGTGAGCCCTCCGCCAGCTTGGCAGTGGTGCCGAGAAATGACAGTCTTCTGTCCCAAGGGGCTGGTGGCCAGAGCCTCCTGTGCAGCTCGTCCTATGAGGCTGTGGAAGTTGGCAACGCGACCATCAGTGACTTGTACGAGGGCATGCTGCACTCCATGAGCCGGCTGCTGAGAGCCAAGCCGTCCTGCGTCATCTCCACCAAGACCTTCATCGTCCAGAACTGGCACTGTAGGAGAAGACCCAGGGGGAAGAGTAGGCTGAACCGAACATACTGCAAAGGGGCCGCTCACAGGGAGAGGTGCGCCCCCTACTCCAAGCCTGCGAGAGAGGCAGGGCCGCTGAGCGAGCCCAGCATCCACGCAGCGGGTTCTCCGCTGAAGGAAGCCCTTGGTGATGTAAACAAGCCCCGTACCTGTGAGCTCATTCCAAGCTTGAAGGAGCTTAAAGTGACTCCGCGGAAGGACTCTTCTTCGTTGGTGCATTTGGACCCTGGTGCAACGTATAACCTCGACCAGGAGAACAGATTTAGGACATTGACGTGCTTAATTTCTCCTGTAAAAAACGTGTCCAGATTCAGAGCACTCCAAGGCCTTGTGGGTAACCGCCATCGCGAGATCAAAGTCAAGTTTGACAAGCTGTATCGGGAATACCATCCAGTCCTCCCAAGTCAGCGTTGCCCCCCAGGCTCCTGGGCCTTGGATGTGCACAGAGGTGACTCCACAAGCCCAGTCTGCCTCCAGGCCTCGGAAACACCCCGGCCAAGTGGAGCTGTCCCACGGAGACTACTAAAGCCTTTGGAAAAGCTGGGAGAGACGGCTCTGGAAGCGGCTGGATGCCTGTCAAAGCACGGCTCCTCGTCACTTCTTTCCAAGGGTGACTTGGTGCAGAAGTGGACATCGGGTAGTCTTCTCCAAAGAAGCAGTCCTGCAGGATTCAAAAAATCACTGCTGCCCACAGAAGCCGTTTCTAAGCCAAGTCCCCAACCTACAGACTGTGAAGGTGATCGCTACAGTGACATCAAAGAACGATTTGACAGGCTTCATCAAGAGTGTCTACAGAGATCACCCCAGCAGACACAGGGGCCTTCCTGTACTGGGCCGTGTCCAGATCGCCGAGGAAAACTGACCACAGGTTCTGCCTTCCAGAGCCCCCAGAAATCCTGGTCCTCACTCCAGTGGAGTGGAAAAAGTCCACTGGGCTCAGTTATAGTTGACACTCATATTTCAACATGGGACCCCCAGTTATCTGCTAAAAGATGCAGGTTATCAGACCCTCAGGTATGTGGACAGTGGGCCATGTCCCGGACCCGCGCAGCTGTGGACAGAGCCGTCCCAAGACCCAGGGAGGAGATCCATCCTCTACAGCTGGATCAGGAAGAAAAGGTAATGTTGGCTGAACGTGGTGTGGTGTAGTTGAGTGTTGGTTCGGGTTTTATATGTTAGCTAACTTGATGTCTGGTAGCATAGTGGGCTGCTAACCTCAGGATCAGCAGTTCAAGACTACCAGTTGTTCCACGGGAGAAAGATGAGGCTTTCTGCTCGTAAAAATTTACAGCCTTGGGAACGCTGTACAGGGTCACTGTGAGTCGGAACCAACTCCACTGCACACCAACAACAACTTGATGTCACTTATACATTTGTTGGATCTCAACAGGATTCTTAGATTTACTGTTAATTTCTTAAGTGTTTTCCCACAGCCATCGTCCTCTGTCACCTTAGCCCCATGGTCATTACCCTCGACCCCATGGTCAGTGTCCATACCTCCACCGTCTCAGCCCCACAGAAAGTGTCCACGCCTACACCACCTCAGCCCCACGGTCAGTGTCCATGCCTCCATCACCTCAGCCCCACGGTCAGTATCCATGCCTCCATCACCTCAGCCCCACGGTCAGTGTCCACACCTCCACCGTCTCAGCCCCACAGTCAGTGCCCATGCCTCTGTCGCCTCAAGCCCTCCATGTCTTCCCTGCAGTTGCTCACCTGCTGCTTCTTGGCTCCCAGCCCAGGTGGTCTCCCTTCTCTCTGAAAACCTTTCATGAAACCTTACAGTGTTTTGGCTAGAAATAGGACTCGGTGCTATGGATGCAGAAATACACCATTCTTTGCAGAAAGTTCTGGGTGATGGCTTTCATTGGCTGTGTTCCACATCAAGCTCCAACAATGGTGCTGTCTCCGTGTCTCCTGGCCCTGCGTTAGCCTGCAGTCCAGCTGGTGATCAGCTGAAACCACTCTCTTAGACCCCCAGTGACCTCTTGGAAGCCAGTCCCTGGAACCACATGGAAACCTTCTCATCATTACACCTGTGGTTAAGTGCCTCCGGAAAGGTCCATGGTTCAAACCCACCAGCCACTCCATGGGAAAAAAATGTGACTGTCTGCTTCCGTAAAGATGTACGTACAGCCTGGGGAACCCTCTGGGGCACTTCTTTGTCCTACAGGGTCACCGTGAGTCCGTTGATGACAGTATGTGTTTAACAGCGTTGGGCTTCCTGTACGCCGGGCACCATGCTCTTTCATGCATCTTCCCAGTGGATCTGCGTGTGCATTCAGTTAGCTAGGTTCTACCAAACAGAAGGTTCTAGATCTCTCACAAACAGTGACGCACAGCCTAAGTCTCATAGCCTCTCGGTTCACAAGGGGACCTGAGCCCAGCAGACTGCACTGCCCACCTGCTGGTTCTCCGTCAGTGCTGCCCCCACCTCCGCTTATCTTAAAGCATGTGCTTACTATGGGACATTCTTATTGCTGTTAAGTGCCATCACATTGGTTCCGACTCATAGTAACCCTGCTTCTGAGGAGTGGATGGTAGGCTTGAACTGCCAACCTTGGGGTTAGCAGTCCAGTGCCACATCAGGACCCCATTCTTAGGATGGGCACACGAATATTGAGAGTAGGCCAGGAGGATAAAATAGTAGAATAGTGGTGGTGGCCTCTCTGAAGAAATTTTACTAGAAATCCTTTTTTTTAAAACCCCACAGGAAAGAAGAATCCAAGATGGAAGAGAAAAGTGAGTGTGTTGGAGAGATTCGGCACCAAACATCTACTGCCCAGCAGTTGAGGGTGGTGGTGTTCCTCTTCCGGCTTGAGGTCTTAGTGTTTTAATACCTGACAAACGGGAGGACATGGGTTAGGCTGTCTTCCCTTCAAGCAAGTATCCACGAAGCAGGTTCCATCACAGATGGTTCTGACCTCCTTATAAATAAAGTTTTAAATCTTGAATGTTCTCATTTCCAGAACTCACACTCTGTTTCCTTTAAAACACCCAAAAGATTCTCCCAACCATTTCCAGTTTTGTTTCAGAAAACGGTTTGGGTGATGGATCCTTGAAGGACCGCCCAGAGAGGGCACAGTGGTGAAGACCACAGTCTGCTCCCTACAGTATCGCTGTGAGTTGGAACCGACAGGGAAACGTTGGAGCCAGTGTCCACTCTTGATGGACACCTGTCTTCCTTTGCGTGTTTCTTACGGACCCGGGTGTCCTCTGGATTCAGTCATAAGAACCAATCTAATCTTCAAGGAATTGCACGTCACTTCTCCCATCAACGATGGCTCATTTAACTGGTATTTTATTGTACAGAGGTTACAGTTCAAGGATCTTAAGTATCTGAACAATCTGCGGGGTTTTTCTGAGTAATACAATTTTAAAGAAAACTTCCCCTACCCTCGGAATCAACACTGCCCTCTCCTTATAGTCTTAAATCTGTGGTGTGTCAACTCCCTGGGGAGGGTTTCGTGTAGATGTGATAGGCCCGTCCTGCCGCAGGAGGTAAGAGCTGAGGTGTGGGTTCCACGTAGCCCCACTGCTGCTGGTGGGCACTCTCCAGAGCTCTTCCATTGGCAGCGCCCACCCGCTGCTGCCTTTAGTGGCTGAACTGAAGACCATCTCAATGTCCTGTTTGACCAGGGACACCTGTGACTCTGTTCTGTGGGTGACTGACTGCATATAGGAAAAATCCCCCACCCTCTCCCCAGCTCCATGTCCTTAAGACGAGCACATGGATCAGTTCCTCCTGTCCAGCCGTCCAAACGGTTTAATACGGAGGGGCCTTGATGGGCGGGGAGCTTAAGGCTCCTGTCAGTCATTGTCAAGCCCCACCCCTCACCGCATGAGACCTGTCCTTTGTGTGTCCGGGTGGGGGGTGACTACAAGCCTGCCTTCTCTCCAGCCCGGGCTCCCCCACTGTACTGCCGGGTCCTGGCAGTGACCCCGCATCATGTGCTGGTGGGGAGACTCATGGGGTTTCTCGGAGTCCTGTGGAGGGGATGTCTGCGAATGGCCCTCCCTGACTCAGTAGAGGGGTCTGGCCTCCATGTGGTGGGCCCCATTCCAAAGCAAGGAGAGGAGAGTATACTGGTTATTGTAGAACAAGACCGAGGCTTTCGTTAGAAACGAGACTTGGCATGGCTGTGGTAAGGTGTGGTCCTCCCAGGGGCATTGGTACTCAGCACCTGGACCCTAGAAAGAGCCTTCAGAGGCAGCCAGGAGGCCATGCTGACTGCAGCTGTCCAGGACCTTGAGGGTCTCCAGGGCTGCTTTCCGTACCCCAGAGTCCGCATCCAGCTGGAGCTCCTGGAAGGCTGAGAGTCCACAAGAGAGGGCAAGTCAGGGCCACCCCACAAGGGGACCATGTGACCATCGGCACCATCCCTCTGCCGTGCTCAGTGGTGACCGTCTGGACCACAGCCCCGCCCTGGTCAGCATGCCACCATCAATGTGAGGTGGTCTGGGAGCCAGGCTCCGGTGGGCTGCACACTGGGACTCTGGTTTCAGGTCAGAGGCCGGGGCGGAGCCGGAAGTTCTTGGGCCCATCGCACCTCTGGGAGCTTAGTCCCTGCCCACCAGGCACCCAGGGCCTGGCTGCGGAGGGGCCCACAGATACCAAATAGACTCCAGCCAATAGTCTTCCTGAGGAGTCCCACAGGGCTTGGCCCCCACCTCTCTCCCCAGCACGACACAGGGTGGGTGGGTATCTGGCTCCTTCTTGGGTGGCTTTACTAGACTGAGACCCACCAGAGTGGACTCCCCAAACAAACCTAAGTGTAGTTCCAGCATGAAAGCATCTGTACTTACAGTTGCGCAATGCCGGGAAGTCTAGCTGCTTCAGGTAGCTCGCAGACATCTGATTCATTATGATCCCTAAAAGGATAGCCAGAGGCGGACTCAGGGCAGGATCTCTGGGGTGCAGGTGAGTCATTCTGCCTCTGACAGGTTTGGGGTACCTATGAGGGACTCGGCTCAGCATCTTGCTAGCAAGGAGGACACTGGGCTGGTGACCAGGTAGGTGCCAGGCACGGAAGACTACCAGCTTCAGAGCTAGAAACTCAACCCAGTCCCCTTCCCCACTCCAGACCCTGTGCCCTGACTACAGTCTGTGACTTGGGGGGTGACCAGATGGCCTGGGGATCTACCCTGGTCAGGGGAAAGCTGTCAGCTCACCTGCCAAGTTGCAGGCAGCAGTTCTGATCCCTGACAAGTTACTTTTCACATAGGTAACGGTTTCTAGCAAGAAGGTGTAGAGCACAGCCGGCTTTTTCTGAGTCTGAAAAAACAAGTGGCCACAGCCTTGGAGGAGATGCTCCGGGGACTAGAAGGTTGCACGGGGTTCCCCATGTGACTAAAGTGTCCCGTTCCATGAACCCAAGGACCCCAGCTCACACAGCAGATGAGGACCACCAATCCCTGCTCCATTCCTGTCTAACCCCAAAGGAGAGTCTACATGTGTCCAGACCAAAGCTGTCCAATGTTTCAGATGCTGGTCACATGTGGTTCTTGGGCACTTGAAATGTGGCCAGTCTAAAATACCTACTAGATGTTGAAACCAACACAAAAAAATTAATGAACTATCATTAATAATTCCATACTAATGACATGTTTCAATGAAAATGTTTGGGATGTACTGGGTTTTTATATAAATTGAAGAGAAATGGCCTAGCAATCATTGTCAAAAAACATAAACATGTCAAGATATTGAAGTATAATGCTGTCAATGACAAGACAATATCCCCATGGACTCCTGGTGTGACGCTGTAAGATAAGCACTGGATTGTTAGCTACAGGTCAGAGGTTCAAATCCACCAGCTGCTCCTCAAAAACCCAACACTATGAGTTGGAACCAACTCAATAGCACTCAACAGGAAGGAAGACCAGTTATTCAAATTTATGCACCAACCACTAAGACCAAAGATGAGAAAACTGACAATCTCTACCAACTTCTGTAGTCTGAAATTGATCAAACATGTGATCAAGATGTATTACTGGTGATTGGAAAATGAAAGTTGGGAATAAAGAGGATCGGTAGTTGGAAAACACAGCCTTGATGATAGAAAACAATCCTGGTGATCACATGATAGAATTTTTCAAGATCAATGATTTATTTACTGGAAATGCCTTTCTTTAACAACATAAACAGTGACTAGACACATGGACCTTGCCAGATGGAATACCCAGGAATGAAATCGACTACACCTGTGGAAAGAGACAACAGAGATGCTCATTAACATCGTCAGAGCAAAGCCAATTGCCAACTGCAAAACCATCAATTGCTCATATGAACATTCAAGTTGAAAAAAGTTTAAACTAGTCCACGGAAGCCAAAGTATGACCTTGGGGCTATCTGACCTGAGCTTAGAGACCCATTTCAAAAATAGATTTCATTTTATTCACTGGGTACAGGCGATACACATGCTAACTTGGGTGGCGGGGAAGGCAACATGCAGTAAGAGGGAGGTTGGTGCAGGAAATATGAAGGCCATGGAAGACACAGGGAGGAGTAAAAATGTTAAAGTGAAGGAAAGTAAATACTAAATACTGTAAACTGATGGGACACCAAGCGATTGCAATCATCGTAATGACGCCAAGCATATGATTTATTGAATGTGGAACTACAGTACCTTGAATTTACTTGATACAGATTTTCTATTAACATTTTCTTTGTGGTTACCAGTTCAGTACTTGTCTTACAGCTCCGCAGCAGGACTCCAAAGTTGTCTTGTTGTTGTTGTTGTTGTGATGTGCCGCGGAGTCGGTTCCGACTCATAGCGACCCTGTACAGGGTTTCCGAGGCTGTAAATCTTTATGGGAGCAGAAAGCCTCATCTTTCTCTCACGGAACAGCTGGTAGTTTCAAACTGCTGACCTTGAGGTTTGCAGCCCGATTCGTAACCACTACGCTGTCAGAGCTCCTTAAAGTTGTCTTAATTCCCACCAAATAATTGGGTTATTTTTGCTATTGCTGGTGCCAGCGAGTCATAGAAACCCTATGTAGGAGCAGCTAGTGAGTTTGAACCACCAACTTTGCAGTTCAAACCGACCTTGTGGTCCAGTGCTTTCCCTACAGTGGCACAGTAGGATAGCATGTAAATAGGGTGTACAGGATTCTAATGCTAGGATTGGTTATTTCTGCCATCCACGAGGTTTAAAAGGAGTCATCTCAGAAGCAGGAGCAGATGACCTCAGGACCATCCAGAAGAAGAGCATGAGTGGAGTATGAGCTCCTTATCTAGAAAAGTCGAGGCGGGGGCATGAGGAGACAGCGGCTGTGGGCTTGTAGCCCGTGGACTGAGTAGAGCTGAGTGCCTCCGTGAAAGGACACAGCTGCAGTGTTTAACTCTTGTGAGAGCCCAGGCAGTGTTTACTGAGTTTGTTTTGTAGGAATGTCGAACCGCCCGCCAGCCGGCTCCACTGATAAGACCCTAGCCTGTTTGGCTGAGCTTGTTTTACATTGATGCCAGACCTTGAGCTCCCTGCCCGTCTACCTCTTAGCCAGTCCCACAGATGAGCGACTCCCTAAACTCTACCCAGCAGCCTCGGACGACCTCTCAGAGGCTGAGCAACAGATGAGACCTTTAATCACCTCCCAGATGGACAATATCTTAAGTTACCTCTCAACATCCTATTATACTAGCCGAGAGGATACCATGCTTACTTTGTCAATGCCCCTTTGCCTTCCCTCTCAAAAACCCAATAAAAGCCCCAAACACCTGACCTAGTCTCTGGGGTAAGGCCCCTTTCCTCCCTCTCTGCTTTGAACCTCCATACTTGTGAAGTCTTTCACACCCCATGACTCTGGCCCAGACTGACTAAAAGAGCTTTGTAACACATTCCAGAGCAGGGCAGAAGTCAAGGGCTAGGGCTAGGTAGACTGGGTGGACTGGGGAGATACGCTAGCTGAGGACAGAGTGAGGCGTGCCTGACTGGAGAACTTCTGCGTCCTGACTTGTTTCTAATCCGGAATTGTACCCTGGTCGCTTCCCTAGTAAATCCCATAATTGTCAGTACTGTTATGAGTTCTGTGTGGACATTGCAAGGGGGCATCGAGCCCAGATCTGAAGCAGAGAATGCTGTGGGGAGGGATGGTTGGTGTCAGAATAAGGGAAAGAAGGTTGTAGGGTAGAAGCATTCTGACCTTTGCTTCCTAGGAATCAGGCTTGGGCTGGTTTATAATTTTGATTTTCCTTCCGCATTGTGAAGCCAGAGGAAGCCAGACATGGCTCCCTCATGGTATTTATGGGACTGCTAATCTGTTCTATACATCTTCACTCATTTCACAATAAAATGGTTTTTTAAATACCTTGAACAATAATGATGGAAGACCAGATGATTTGTGGCTGATTGAAATCGGGCCATATATGTGCCCATTCCTAAAAAAGGTGATCCAACAGAATGTGGAAACTTGAGCAGTATCATTAATACCACACATTTTGCTGAAGGTAACATTTCTGAAAGATTATAAAAGTACAGGGAACTGTCGGTAATTCAAGCTAGATCCGAAGAGGACTAGGAACAAGGGATAATAGCATTATTGATGTCAGCTGGATCTTGGCTGAAAGCAGAGAATACCAGAAAGAGGTTTACCTATGTTTCATAGACGATGCTAAGTTAGTCGACCTTGGATTATAACAAACTATGGCTAACATTTTGAAGAATATTAATTCCAGAACACTTAATTGTGTTCATGCAGAACCCGTGTGTGGATTAAGACGCAGCCGTTGGAATTGCATAATGGGATGCTGCATGGTTTAAATGAAGGAAAGGTGTGCATCAGGGTTGTAACCTTTCACCATATGATTTAATCTGTATGTGCCAAGAAGATTGGGTGATGACCCATTAACAACCTGAAATATACAGATGGCACAGCCTTGCTTGTTGAAAATGAAGAGGACTTGAAACACTGGTGAAGATCAAAGACTATAACTTTCAATATACTTTACACCTTAATTAACATAAAAAACAACAAAAATTCTCACCCTTGGGCCAGTAAGCAATATCATGATAAACAGAAAGCATATTAAGGTTGTCATGGATTTAATTTTACTTAGATTCATAATCAACATCTGTGGAAGCAGCAGTTAAGAAACCAAATAGCGTATTTCATTGAGCAAATCGGCTGCAAACGATCTCTTTTAAAGTGTTCAAAAGCAAAGATGTCACTTTGAGGACTAAGATACACCTGACCCAAGCCATGGTATTTTCCATCACCTTAAATGCATGTGAAAGCTGAGAATGCATATGGAACCCTAAAGAACTGATGCCTTTGAATTATGGCACTGTTGAAGAATTGTTTGCTGTAACTGTTGCTGTCGTTAAGCACCATCAAGTTGATTACAACTCATAGTGAGTTAGTTGTATATGGCTTCTGAGGCTGTCAAAACAATTCAAACTTTTTATTGTGAATTGAGTGAAGGTTTACAGAGCAGATCATCAGTTTTACATTCAACAGAGCATACTTTGATTCACTACAATGATTGCAATCCCTTCCATGTACCATAAGTTAACAGTTGTTGTTGTTAGGTGCCATCGACTCGGTACCGACCCATAGCGACCTTATGCACAGCAGAACGAAACACTGCCCGATCCTGGGCCAACCTCACTGCTGTTGCCATGCTTGAGTCCATTGATGTTGCCACTTGGCCAATCCATTTTCTCTGACCCTCTACCCTACCAAACATGATATCTCCAGTGACTGATCAGTTAGCAGTAGTTACCTCTATTCACTTTAACTCTTGCATTCCTCACTCAGTCTCCTGCTACTTTCATCTTCCCTCTGCCAACCTCCCTCTTGTTGTATGTTGACTGCCCATCACCCATGTTAATGTGTTTCTACCCTCTAGTCCATGAACAATTTTCCTCCTCCCACACCACCATGCTGCAACCATCGTAGAATGTTCCTTTTATCTAGAACACCTTTTAACTTTTTACAACATTGGCCTCAGACAATTATTTGTCCTTTTGTGATTTGACTAATTTCACTCAGCATAATGTCTTCCAGGTTTATACAAGCTGTGAGGTGTTTTGTAGATTCATCATTATTCTTCAGTGTTGCGTAGTATGTACCAAATGCCCTTCAGTTGATGGGCATTTAGGCTGTCTCCATATTTTTGATGTGTCTCTTATAAACATGGCACATTTAATCCATTTATATTCAGTGTCATTATCAATAGGTTTGAACTGATACTGTCATTAGGCTGTGTGTTTTGTTCGTGTGAGTGCGGTGCTCCTGGTTTTTTGTTCCACATGATTTTCTGTGCTGAGTTCATCATGTTTGTAGGTTTCATTCTCATTTCTGTGAATGTTTACTACATCTTTCTGATTCTTCTCTTTTTTAAAATTTTGCTGTAAAGGTATGTTCATTCTTCTTTGAGATTACCCTGTAGTTTATTCATTTTTTTTTTCCTGTTTAAAACCATTTGTTTTATCTTGAAATCTACTTGACTTCCTCAACATTTGGAAGTTCTCTATATACACTGTTCCCTCTTTTTGCTTTATAGTTAACTTCATTATAAATTGATATCTCTAGCTCCCTATTTTAAGTCTTAGAGGTTTGCTTTACTTTAAATCCTTCTATATCTGGATTGAGTTCTGGGTGGGGCTGTCATCTCAGGTTGTTGTCTGCTGTTAATCTGGTCATTACAAATTTTGTTAATTTCTGTTTACCTGGAAATAACCTAATTTCACCATCTTATATGAGGGACAGCTTTGCTGGGTGTATGATTCTTGGTTGGGAATTTTTTTCTTTCAAGTTCTGTAGATGTCATCCCATTTGCTTTTTGCCTGCATGGTTTCTGCTGAGAAATCAGAGCTTAATCTTATTGCTCGCCTGTGTAGGTAACTGTTTGCTTTTCCCAAGCTGCTCTCAGGATTCTTTCCTTGTCTTTGGTTTAAGAAAAATTTATTATGATATGTCTTGGTAGTTTTCTTTTGGGACCTATCCTGTTTGGGGTGTGTTCAGCTTCTTGTATGTGTATCTTCTCATCTTTCATGATGTTAGGGAAGTTATCTTCTTTTTTTTTTTTTGGTCTCCTCCTGTTTTGGGATTCCAATCACCCATCATTTTTTTGTTTTTTTGTGTATTTTTTTTATTGCTCTTCTAACATACTAGTATTGAAAGATTTATCTGAAAGCTCATTAATTAGGCTTCCATTGCTTGGAATCTACTCCTTTGCCGTTTCAATGTATTGTCTATTCTTGAAATGTTAGTATTGATCTTCTGGATTTCTAATTGTAGGTTATGTATTGTTTCATAATATGCATTTATTTTGTCTGCTTGTTCTTGTAATGTTTTCCTGAATTCTTCTAAAGTTTCTTTCTGTGTTCTCCTAGCTTTCTTCAATCTTTCTGTCAATTCATTGAAGATACCTACATACCATTCTTTTGGATTTTTTTTTTTTTTT